TGCTTTTAACTTCCCATTTCCCTCTTCTGGTTGGCCAAATATTATACAAGAACACTGAATCTTGTATCTGACTTGCTGAGTTACAGCTATTTAACTTCTGACCAAATATATACCAGATTCAGATTAGCGTATATAAACCCATCTACTTGTAGGTCAGCTTGGGGGAAATGTTATTAAGGACAGTTTCCCAGAGTCTCCTTGAATAACTACAGTTAGGCTGAGAGTTGAATGGTTGAAAGGTTTTACTGAATGCCTCTATAAATATCCTATCATATTATACCAGGTGAGGGATATGCACTTCCATGAAGCTAATTTAGTAGTCTATAGTGAGAAAGTTCTCTCTTAATTTAGAATCATAAACAATTGTTACACTTGATTAACATTAAAAGCCCACTAAAGAATTTGCTATTTTGTGGAAAGTTAGTTTCATTTTTATATTAAGGTTTCCATTTTAGTTAAGTGACGAAAAGAGTGGCAATCACAAATTCGTGGTGGACATAGCTCTATTTACCTGTTACAAAGTACAGGGAAAGTACAGGATACAAGCTGTTTACTGCTTACACTGAATAAAAAACTTCACATAATCTCTGCCATGGATGTCTATCATATAGAAAAGAAAAAGCATGTATGTCTAATACTAATTACTTTGGTCTATATAAATATTTAATACTCATTTGTTATTAGCATATAGAAAGATTCAAATCTATGATCCTAGTTAAAGGGGAAAGGACTTGGCCAAATATCAATGTGAATTTTCTATACTAACTTCCTGGACTCAAGCATCTGTACTGGCCTGCCCTTGGGTCCTCATAAGATACAACCTGAGCTGTAGTCACTAAGAGCAAGAGCAAGCACCTCCTGAGCATGTATGCTACGTTCCCCTTTAAAAGGTGGGCTTTAACCCACCTCTGATCCCTCTCTCTCTCTCTCTCTCTCTCTCTCTCTCTCTCTCTCTCTCTCTCTCTCTCTCTCCATTTTCCCTCCCTCCCCCCTCTTTCTCTCCTTCTCTTGCTTTCTCTTCTATCACTCTTGTCCGCAGGGACCAGTCTCTACTCCCCTCTCCCCTCTCTGCCCCCTTTCTCTGCACCTTCTGTCTCCTCTTCCAATAAACCTCCAATGTGAGCCTTGTTGCATGGTGTGACTTCTCTTCGTGGTGTTTTTAAATAAAATACAACATTGATTCCCTTACCAAAAAAGGCTCTCCTGATGTTTCTTCCTGCCTGCTGATTCTAGTCTGAGGCACTCTGGGACCTTGGAACTCACAAATGACAGCCTCACTTCTCCAACTAATGGATCCCTTGGCCCTTCCATCCAACACTAGTGTGATTGGCGAGGCCCCTCTTCTCCACCTCTGGCTGTTTTCCATGAGTGAAGACTCGTGCTTCGAGCATGGTTTCTCACTTCTTGGCCTTGTTAAGCCCTGGTACCAGGCAATCACAGATCTCTCAGGATGGGAATCCTTAGCCCCTGCTCTGAGTTTGACAAAATCACTGAGAAGCCTGTGTCTTCTCGAAATCCACCCTCTGTGAATTCCTGAGATGCTAGGAATTAAAAACCCTTGGATCTCATTTATTTGCCCCAGTCATTGGAGCGTTGGCGTCATCTACACCTTCAACTTTTGCACTCAGTGCTCGATTTAAGGGCATCCAAACTCATCTTTGCAGTTAGATATGGCCCAAATATCCCTTAGATATTACTTTCCTATCCGCTCTCTTCCACCTGCAACAAATCTGCTTTCTCATTCACTGTTGGCTTTGTTGTCCAGTCAATACCAACAATTGGGTCTCTGGCAGAGTTATCCACCTCTGAGCATTCCCCTGGATGTGATGCTTCCTTTCTTGAGCACAGTCTTTTCCTCACCTTCTGGCCTCTCTCGAAGTCCTGCTATCCGGTGACTCTGTCTCTCTCGGGCTCAAAGTCCTTGGCCTCTGTTGTTGTGTAATGATGTAGCGAAACAGCTTGTGCCCACTCAGTCTGATCCTCCATGGATCCATGGGAGGCCAGCAGATCCAGGCTTTGGATCTTCTTTATCTTCCTCTGCCTCATCCTGGGGAACTGGGTCATATACCTCCTTTCTCGCCCTGGGATGTCTTTTGGAGACCCACTGACCACTCCTTTCAAATCAAATCTGGCCTCAGATTTAAACCAGACAGTCAGGAAACCAAGAAAAAATTCTCCATTTTCTTTTTATCAGTTGCTCCAAAACTTACTTGCCTGTGTGTTCTCCCTCTCGAAATGTTCTGTCTGTTTGCTGCAACATACAGGTCAGATGAAGAAACCTGCTTTTTCTTAATCAGCATAAACTTGCTTTTCTTTTCTTTTCTTTTCTTTTTACTCAACTTCTGTTTAATTCTGCATGTATGTTTCTTGTGAGCTCCAGGGAGTCAACTTGTATCCATCTTGAACAGCATTTTGCCAGGTCCAAGTGGCACCTGACAGTTCCACAGAGCCCCAGGATGTGGCCAGAACTCCCCAAAGACTGCCATGCCCTCAGGTCAGCATGAAGCAATCTCAAGAGTACAGCGTCCTCATCCCACTTTACCCACAACCCTTTCTAACTCCTCACCTTTTTATAATAATCAAAATGGAGGAATATTAATATTCAGGCATTCGCACTAGCCTACTCTTAGGGTCCTGACGGGATATGTCCTCAGTTCCAGCGACTAAGAGCATCTACTGTGCACATTTGCTATGTTCCCTTTTAAAAGATGGGTTTTGCCCACCTCCTGTCTCTTTCCCTCTTTCTCTCTCTTTCTCTGTCTCTCCCTCTCTCCCTTTCTTTTCTACCACTCTTGTCCCCAAGGATCGGTCTCTACCCACCCTCTGGCCCTTCTCTGTCCTTCTCTCTCTTCTTCCAATAAACCTCCTATGTGAACCTTTTTGCATGGTATGACTTCTCTTAGTGGTGTTTTTAAATAAATTGCTGTAAGAGTATCACAAATTTCCAGCTCCAAGAACTAGAAAATCTCCAAGAATTCCAAATGATGTCACCCAGAAAGCAGAGGTAGCCTTCACATAGTATTGGTGGGTTTATTATACAGTGAAAACTGGAAAAAAAAAAGATATTGCTTAGTAAGGTCTATACAAGATCAGGTTAAGGATCCTGACTTACTCAGAGGACAAAGAGTTTCCAGAGCAAGGAGAAACAGCCTTTCATAAACAGTTCTAGCAACATTTTGATAAACCCATTTTTTATTTATAAACTGTTGATACAGTTACTTGTTTCCCTCAAAATCCCTGGACATTTCCTGAGAACCTTGCTGGAGTTAGTGTAATGCTAATTTCCACTAGTGTTCTTATCTATCTGAGCCCATGTCTTTACAACTTGATCCCTTGCTCCATGAACTCTGAGAAGCCCTTGTCTGTTCATTTCCAGGTTCAGCAAGAAAAGCTGGTGTGAATAAGGGTCTCTGTGTTTCCTACATGTCTGGCAAGACCTTAGGAGGGGGAAAAAATGAACAGGCTAAGATTAGAGTCTCTTTGAACCCCAGTATGCTCAGGACTCTGGCTCTGATGATGTCACTTACACATCAGTATCTATCTCTCTTGTTATCATTATTCTGCAGAGACTGTTTTAGTTAAGACATCAGAAAGTCCTCATGGCACACAGTGTGCACAAGCTATCAACCGCCTTATTTGTCCTTCTGCCGCTTGGTTCTCTCTCTCTTTCTCTCTTCCCTCTGTTCTGTTTTTAAGCACAGAGTTAAGCTAGCACACTCTGCTGTACACCAGTGACATCACAACGTGATGTGCTGCCCCTGACACTGCTCTTTGTTCCAGCAGACTGACTTGGAGTTTATGTCCATCCTTCCATTGGTCTTGCCAGCAACTCAGCAGTAATTTTTTCTCACAAAATGATCATGTAGTAAAAGTATTTCCAACATTTTCTTGATAGTTTTCCAATGTGATTTTCTAGCCCTGAGGAGGGGACCTGGGGTTACTTGTGAACATACCTGATATATTGTGACATCTGGATATGATATATTACCAACCAATTTATTTCCTATTTCACCCAGTACTCTATTCACTTCATTTTCCTGTACTTCACAGAACCCACTGAAACACGTGTTACTAGAAAGATACCTTAGCTGCTGGTTTGGTACTTTAACTTAAAACGATCTAATCATAATAGAATAAAGTATCATTGGAATATTCCATTGCATTAAAAAGTAATGTCTCTCAAGTTTTACATGCTGGACTATAAGAAGAAAGCCAGCCTCATCTGTTGACAAGATTTTTTTTTTTTGGCAATAATGAATGTCTCATTAAGAATACCTACTGAATTTTGTACATTAAATATAAGTACACATCAGAACATAACTAAAATGATTCATGAAATTCTTTTACTTGAAATTATAAATAATTAGGAAATGCCTCTAACATGAAAGTCCTTTGAAGTATGGAGAAGTGTCAGTCTTTCCTCTCATTTCTATGCATCTCAGAGAGGAACACAAGAATGAAAGATGCCATGGGAGATGGCAAGTCAAAATGAAGCATTGTTTAACCTTCTCATGAGATGCTCTTTCTAGATCTGACATTAGCAAAGACTTCCTAAAGTGGGAATCAACACTATTTTGTTTAGGGAATCTTGTAATAGATCACAATGTGATATAAATCCCTGCAATATAAGCAGAACACTGGTGTATCTGTGCTTTATACTGAGCGCTTTCAGCAGTGAACTGGACAATGTAAACCTCAAACCTAGTAAGCAGAAAACATGAATAATGCGTTGATTCGTAGTGGCATTGCTAAGAGCACTAGTAAGAACCTCTGTCGTGGATGTGTCTCTGCTAGGCAGCATCGGTGTCGGTCGAAGACAGTGGTGGTCTTCCATCTCCTCCTTCTGGAGCATCATAATTCATTCGGTAATCTCTCATGTCTTTAGCACAACAACAACATCACTTCTGCTTCCTCCCTTTCTCTACAGTAAAATGTGCAGCATGAAAGAACTCATCTAAGTTTGAAGCAATAATAACAAGTTTAACAACACTTTCACTTACCAGAATGACTTCGAAATTAATATTGATATTGATAGAATTAAGGATGCTAAAACAAACAAACAAACATAACAAAAATTTCAGGTTACTCATAATCAGAAGAGATATTAGAAATGACTGTAATGCTCAAACTGATCAGAAACTATTTAATATATATACATNCAAGTCTGTGAACATATAATTTTTAATTAAAATATTTCAATTAAGCAATGGAAATGACTTGAGTTAAAGCTGGGAATATTTCCTACTTGAAGCAATCAGATTTTAGCTCACTGTCCACAAAATAATTAAAAACTTAAATCATAGGATTTACTCTTGACCCATAAACCTGAACCCAAATGTAGATAATCCTCAAAGAATAACAATTCTGGTCCAATATCCCAGGAAGAATGCCACCTACTGACACAGGATCCGAGGAGGAGAAGACAAAGTTTAATGGCAGTTAGATATATCTGAAAACAGCAATCCTTCTTTACGTGTACAAAATACATTTTGATAAGAATCTTGGCCCCCAGGCAAATTGAACCATGGAAAATCAGCTCCCTGAGAGCTCCTGTCACAGGCCAGTGATGGAGGGATCCTTGTAAATTCTTAATCTGTCTTTTTTTTCTGGGCAGGACAATATAGTTCTGCTGAAAGGAAGGTCGAGTTGCTGAACCCCCGCAGTAGGCAACCCAGAAAGCAATCAAGCCAAGCTGGCAGGGAGTAGACTCCAGCCGCAATGTGCGCTGGGGTCTTTTCTCTCCCTCTGCAGGTACCACAGAGAAGGGAGGATTCCTAGGACTTGTGGCTTAATTTCTCTGGCTACCACACTAATCGCACGCATCCCACAATTACTGTCTGTCTTTCTTCCTCCAGACTATCATTCTTCTGTCTTTGAGCTCTGTCCCACGGGCAGACTGTCTACACAAAGGCTGGGCTAGTTATCCAGCCACCTGAGAGCTCCTTCCCTTCGCCAGGCTCCCCCATGCTTATTTTTCTTTATTTCCCCCGTGTTACCCCTCCCATCCTCACCACTAAAGAATATTTAATTTGCATTCTTTCCCAGCTAAAGCAGAGCTAAGGGAATTGCTTCATTAAATGAGATGCCTGTGTAGAAAGGCCTAGGAAATCTGTGAACCTAATCTGAATCTCTACACAAATCACCACAGATATTCCAGATAAACCCAGGTTTACCATAGCAGAATGCCAAGGGGGGCCTCCCATGGTACGAGAATGTCGGACCTTTCTTTTAATAATTTCACAGAACTCTTTTCCTGGTCTGGGAAATTAATGGTTTTCCATATCAGGGTTTTTTTTTTTTTTTGCCTATTCCATTTCCATGACTGAGAATCTTACGAACTCGCTAGTTGAACTGCTAGTCAAGAAGCTGTAGCAATATGTGTCTGTGTGTCTGTTAACTATAAAATTTCACAGAAACAGGGGATTTGTGCCTTGCCTTCCAACATTGATTACCTTTCCGCTCTACCATGAGCATTCTTCTGCCATTATCAATCCCTAAAGGGGGATGACAGAAGAATATTCAAAGGACCCTTCTTGGAAAGTCATAGTCATCTCTTGGTGTGTCTTCTAGGACCCTAGGGTAGGTGTGCTAGCCGCTTAAATACAAGATTGATTGGTTTCCAGTCCTGGAGCATCTGGAGGCATTGTGGAGGCAGTTTATGGTCACCCTGGAGGTGCAAAGCACCTCCAACAGTGCAGAGTGACCCCATCGGTAAAGTGTTAATTGGCTCTGAAGGGAGCCTCATCTGGTCAATCCAGATGGAGACACAGATTTATCTCCCTAGATTGAAAATACCTCAAAAATGCCAAGCCACCTTCTGGGAAGAATGGGCTCGATGTTAGGCAGTAACAGATTGTCAATATAGCAAAAGGTTAAAGAGCAATCAAATGGCTTGTACTTTCCTGTTTACAATAATGAATAAAGAGAGGCTGCTCTCAGAGCACAAAAGCAATTTAACTTGTTTTGCTTAATTTTGAAAAATATTTTAAATGTCCATTTCGATCCACTATTGGGCTGTGAACAAAGAAACCTAAACTATTTGCAGTTCATTCAACAAATGCAAATAAATCAGAAAGAATAGTGGTATATATATAGTTAAATTAACATTAGAACATGAATGTTTTAAGTTAGGAACTCCCTCTTTTAGAATATGGGTACGCCTCAGGAGGAGCTAACAAAGTACACGAACCATTCTCTTCTAAAACTATGACAAAAAAATCAGTCAGTGACTGCTTGTGTCTCAATTCTACATATGCTAATTTCTCATTCAAAACGCAGATGCTCAGGTGTAGAGAATTGTATCATTTGTTTGCCACATCATGTAATAATCAACATATGGTTGTTTGTGGTTCTTGTTCACTACACAGAAATGGCAGCCCTGGGACGTGAATAATCGATTAGGAAGTCTGTAACCCTTTTGGAAATGAAAAGCTTGCCTTTCACTGAGAGCACTTGTTCATTGTGTCATAAGCTTAGTTATCACAATTTTAATTATTCATTTTGCTTTCCAGTTCCTGTACTTGGCACGTTCTACATTTTGTTGCAATCTCTACACTCGCAGTCCCCCTGCACAGTAGCTCTCATTCATTGGATGTAGGTACTGAAGTCTCTACATGAGGTAAACACAAAGTAAAATGTTTTTAATGTTGCCATTTTAAAATAGTGTATTTGTTCTGCTGGAATACAGAGAAACATTATTTATAAAAGGGTTCTAAGTATCTTCTGTTAAACTTTCGTTCATTTATTCTTCATTTATTTTGAACTGATTTTGTAATACACAAAACACACATACGAATATTGCACTGCATGGTGTTTTCAATTGTTTATAGAGTGTTATATTTAAGTCATGCATATATAATTCTATAATTATATGTATATAATTTATATGTATATAAAAGCATGTATCATTTTTCTGTGTTAAAAACTTTCAATAACGCCCTTTCATCTATCTTTCTGGACTGGTATCGGTAGTCACTGTACTGAGCAACAGCACACTAGAATGTCTTTCTTCTAACTTCATTTTAACACTAGACTGAACATGTGGGAAAGAAGCCACAAGTGTAATCTTCACTTAGGTGACTTGTGAACAATGCTCACAATAGAGTGAGCTACACTCAGCTCTTGGAGACAGATGGGATCAGCTAAAACAAAGAGAATAAGACAAGTGGGGACACAAAACCTCCCCTCTCCCCTTGACCCCTTTGATGTTCTCTATGCCCCAGCATGGATTTCCACACTCAAAGGGCCAGCACAATCATGTCTCTTACTGCTGCTGCAATATGCTTAAGGCAAACTGGCAAGGACATTTTTCTCACCTTTTGGCTATTCCATTGAACAAAAATTGCTTCAGGAAAGTGCTTGCTTGAAAAAAGAATATGAACACTTGGTTTCCATGTAAAGCATACATATTCTTGTTCTTTTTGGAGAAATTAAACTTGTATGTTTGCTGTTTATTTCCTTATTAATGGCCTCAAAGTCTACCTAATGATTGTGAAATCAGACCTTTGCAGTTTGCATTTGTTACATTCTGGTTTCCCCTTATGTAAATACATATTTAACATCTAGTTACATGTCCTACATAATATGATACCTGCTTTAAAATTTCCATATGAACTATGAAATCTTTCCAGATCAACTGAAGTAAGAAAGTTTATAATCTCCATATGTAATTGGTGTTTTTTTTTTTTTTTGTAGAGGGTTTCTAAATACAAACTAGACAAGTTGAATGTAGTCTTCTCAGTGAAATAAATAAAACCAGCCAGTTTTTTTATGTCTTTTATCAAAGATCAGATAACGGGTAAGTCAGAATCATAAAAAGGTTGACCATGACCAGTCATAAACAAAAAATAAATAAGTAAATAAGACATGCACTGGAGGAAAAGCTCATGGTACTGTGTTGCTATATAATTAATGAACAGCATTTAGTGTTTACTTCTTATGGTTTTATGTATAACTATAATAGGATATGAAGAACAGGCTACATTTGAGAAGGACTATTTGGGGAAGAGTCATAGTAGTCATTGAGAATGTTTTATACCCAGGGCAGAGGCTAGTGGCAACCATTTCTAAGCCCAGAATAATGGAATGATGCTGCATGCCTAAAATGCCAGCCTTCCAGGGACAGACAGAGCCAGAGATTTACAAGTTCTGGGCCAATATCTGATATACCCACCAATGTCCTTCCCCCCCCCTAAAAAAATAAAAAAGAATAGACAATCGGCAACAACAACAAAGTGGACAAGTTTTGAAGTGGGAAGATATTATTTATTCGTGGACTGAAGGAATTAATGTTGTTGAATTTTCCAGATTGCCTGCACTAGCTACTTTCCCCATAATGCACTCTGGCTCAGAGTTTAATGGCAAGGACAGCTAGCAGCTGAAGCAGCTTGTCGATAAGCAGGAGCTTTAAAACCTGCAGCCTGATCACAATCCTGGCAGATAAGATATATGAAAAAGGGGGTTGTGCATGAAGTCCCACTCACTTCTTGCTACGTCATAAACACATATAACTATGACTTTCGGCCCAAGTGTTAACTCACAAGAATCTGTGAGGCACATGCCACTCAAACCACATTAGCTAATATGATCTACGAGTTCCACAGAATCCTTATCAAAATGCTAATGACATTTTCATATGAAAAGAAACATATCCATTTGATTCCACAAATGATCTTAATAACCAAAGATCAAAGCTAGGTATTATGGCGTACTATTTCTATTCAAAATGGCTACAACTAAGGCTCAGGGAACATCATAGAAGATGGGGCAGAAAGATCATGAGCCAGAGAACCAAGATGCCTACTGTGAGACAGTGTCTTCTCTATGTGAGAGGGGGATGCACCTGTGAAATCTCAAAAAAAAAAAAAAACATGGTTGTCTTCACAAAAATTGCACAAAGACACCCACAGTTAATATTTCAACATTTATAGGGAAAGTCTCACAAGGTCATATCCCTAAAGGAAGAGCAAAAAGCAGCTAATGACTTCTGAGAGGGAGAATCAATCTTCTACAGGGATAAGCTCCTTGAGAGGCTATTCACTTCCAGGTGGTCGGCCTTAACCACATATACATGTGAGCAATGCTAATAAATGCAGCACCGTGTATTTCTGTGTGTACATGGGTATGTAACTAAAAATTAAAGAAGTCATGAATTTGAGATGGAATGGGAGGGGTAGAAAGAGCTGGACTGGGAGAGGGAGTGATAGAAATGATATAAATATTATACCTGTGATAGGTTTTTAGATTCGGTCTGCGATAAGCTCTAACGGGCTCATGCCTAAGAGTGGGATAACTATGGCATAAATAATACATAACTTCCTTGTAGAAAATGTTGCATTTTTGAAATTAGGGTGATCAACATTAACACAGAAAACAGAATTACACATAACTCCTGAACATATGGTGTCACATTAAGAATACTTGCTAGCTCACAGCATACAATAATATTATAAATAAAAGATATTGAAGAGAGGAAAGATGAGTTGAAATGCTGAGATAAGTGAACACTGACAATGGTAAATTCACAATGTAAAAGTGTTATGTGTTGTATACAGTCAAATAAAAAGAGTTCCGGTAAAGTAGAATATCTTCAATATAAAATATATTGACTAAAATATAGAATATATAGTAAAGTAATATTAACAACATAGCAATAAGTTTAATAAAGAACTAAAAAATACACACAAATAAAGCAAAAGTAGATGGAAAGAGATAAAAAAAAATAGGAAGAAAGGACAGAAAACATGACTCAAACCAGAAAACCAGAGCTCAGACACCCATAAGCCATTGCAAAGTCCAGGAGTGTGTGGTCTCCTATACAATAACAGCAGAAAAAGGGATCCCCTAGACAAATTGTCTAGCTAGGATAACAGAAATTCGTGATCTCCAAACTCAGCAAGAGTGTTTGCTTCATTATCTTACCTATAAAGTATTGAAAACTGAAGATGACACCGAGTGACAATTTCAAACTACTTGGTAGAAAAATAAGAATGAAGCCATGAAATAAGCCTTGTGAAGGAAGACATGACTTAAAAATAATTGGGAATAAAAATCTATTATACTTAAAATTGTTGCATAGACAAAAGCTTTTTGTCTTTATATTGGCATAAAAGGCAGGCAGATTGGAAGCTAAACGTAGTCTTTGAAAGTATGGGTTTTCAAAAATAAAACTCTGGCCATCAGACTAAATATAAGTTAGGCCATAGACTGTGACAGGTTGCCAAATTCAACCTGTGACAAATTGAATTACAATTAGCTAGCCTCACACTTACAACAGGAGATAAGGTAAAAGCAGTGGAATTACAAGTATTAATTAGGAAAAGAAATGTAGCTCAGTAAGTTTATGCATATGTTATTATCCAAACATAAATGTAAACGTTTCATATATAAGAATACAAAAAATCCAAGTTTTTATAAGTTTCTAATAAAGAATGTACTAGAATTAAGCCAGCCGAGAACATTACTCCAAGAAAGTAACTGTGAGTTGGATAGCAAAATGAATGAAAATTGATGCTGTATAACATAATAACAGTGCTAATGAGAGTAAAGGGCGCATTGTTAAGGGAAATGGGACATAATCGGTTTGGGAAGTCAGCTTCTTTCCTCTTGTGTTTGTTTGTTTAATAATTAGAGGTCAAAGAAGTGAAGATGACAGTTCCAGCAGTAATGGCATGCAGGCCATTTTATTGCCACTATGCACATTTCTATGACGAAAGTTATGTCAGAGTGGATTGATAGTTACAGGAAGGGCACAACATGTATGGAAATTACATTTACTGTTGCTTTTATAGAGTGAAGAGAATTATAAAAGTGTAATAAGGAATTTCAATAAAAGGATAAAATCCTTTCCACCAACCTACTGATAGCAGCCCACAGGCATATGGAAAAAGCTGAGAAATGGCACCTAAACTATGAAGTATATATAGTCTCACACTCTTTCCCAGACAAAGAGTGACAGCAGACATGTCGCTAGGAGATCCCTTCCAACCAGATAGCCTCAGTACCTAAAAGAACCCCTGGAATTAAAGTTCTGATGACATTTTAATGTCACGCGTCTGTGTATTTTAAATTTTTACTGTGACAGTCTTAGGTGCCATTCAGCTGCTTGCCTCTGTTCTAAGTTATTTCATCAGGAACTAATTATTTTTTCATTACTCATTTAGTTTTCGTAGGTTTTGAGTTACCTTCTTCTAGCCCTGTTCTCAGAAGGTTTACTTTTTCTAAAAAGCAATTTTGTAAAACACATATTTTTTTGCAATTGAATATAATGTGTTAAGGCAGAAATCATGGCATATTTTAAAGCATAAAGCTAAAAACCAAGAAAAATAAGTTAATTAACTAAAAAGGAATACTTATAAAGGAAGAAGGAAGCGAAATTAAATTAAATCTGCCCTTGGTTATTGCAGAACATAATTTATTTATAACAAAATAGAAATTGGGCTACAGAGATGGCTTAGTGGATGAAGCACTTACTGAGCTAGCATGAAGACCAGAATTTAAATCCGCAGATAAAAGTTAGGCAAGCATGAAGGCTGACTGTCCTCCAACACTCAGGAGGACATGGGGGAAATCCCTGGGGAAGCTGACTGTGTAGGCTGACCTGGTGAGCTCCACATGTAGCCTCAGTGAGTGAAGCAGAGAGGCATCAAAGAAGGCACTCAAATTAACCTCTTCCTCTAGGTCCATTACACCCTCACATGTGTGCACATGTGTAAACACACATACACAGAGTAATAAATAATGTTGCATGTTTAAGCTTTGAAGGTAATTAATTTAAAGAGTGAATATAGGTTGAATCTTGTGGTTCACTACTGTAATCCCATGTGAGGATCAGAAGTGGGAGCCTATATAGTCTGCAGAGTGAGTCCTCTTCTCAAAAGACAAAAGAAGGAAAGGCAGGAAGAAATGAAGGAAGGAAGGGAAAAGAAGAGAGTTTACTTATATATAATTCTGATGTATAAAATAATCCAAATACCAATACATTATGCTCTTATTAGAAGAAAATTACATCAGGAAACAATTACCAAAAGAAGACATAGACCACATAAAGAAATGAATGTTAAATTGTCAAAAACTAAGAACTATCTCACATTAGTAAGTATGTATGAGATAAATTCATTATTAAAAGAATTCAAATGCTCTTTTCCTACTATGGTAGATTTTGCAGTAATATTTTCCCAAAAGTAACCAGGAAAAAAAAAGATGAACAAATCATTCAAAACACTTACTTTGAAATCACCCTGAAATTGTATCCTTTTTCATGGAAAAGCATTTGATATTTCATACTTGGTACTGAGCAAGAAAGACGCTGACAGCCAAATAGAATGAAAAGCAGGGAAGAAGAGGGCTCTCTGTAGTCTCCAAGGGGAAGGGGCAAAGGAAGTTGAACTTCTACTGGAGTCTACAAGTTTGATGACATTTAGTTCATGTTTTTACAGTGATATCCATAACATAAACAAACCACAAAGACAAATAAATTAAGGCATTTGCTTCATTTATGACTCATAGAATTATATATATTCAAGTATTATTGAATCTCCACACACTGGCCTAACTTATTCATTAAATATCACTTGAGCTGAGAAGAGGGTTCAGTCCATAAATCATTTGTCTTACAAACGTGAGGACCTGAGTTCAGGTTCCTGGAACCCATGGAAAGCATGACATGGTAGCACACATCTTTAATCCCAACCTGTAAGCTGAGGATGCTTATTCATTTCCCAGCCACCCATACACAAAAAAATTCACAGAAATTATATTAACTGCAACACTGCTTGGCCAATGACTCTTGCATATTCCTAGCTACCTCTTACATCTTAAATTAACCCATTTCTATTATTCTGTGTATCACCACAAGGTTCTGGTTTACCAGGTAAAGTTCAGGTGTCTGTCTCTTTCAGCAGCTACATGGCTTCTCTTCAACTCTGCCTTATCTCTCTCTACATCTCTGTTAGGATTTCCCACCTGGTTTACTTTGTTAAGCCATTGGCCAAAAGCAGATTCTTTATTAACCAATGCCAATAAAACATATTCACAGCATACAGAGGGGAATCCCACATCACCAACCTTCTTATTTCAAGAGGCACACCTCTCCACTAAATACAAAGAACACCTCAAGACTAAAGAATGGGGGGGTGCACCAAGCAAATGAAACAAGGAAAAAAATACATGGCTATCCTAATGATGGTGTTATTGCACAGCAGGTGCCTCTACCTTGCATAGCCCATAGGCTCCCAAGGTATGGAGCCTTTCTTTGCTTCTGGTGGTCTCCCTGATCAAGACAAGGGAGCACAGGGCCACAACACTGCCAGCAGGCTGCAAGCACAATGGTCATTCCCAGGGAGTCAACTGTGCTAAGGGCATGAAGGTATGCAGTGGTTTGGAGCTCTTGTGCAGGTACTGCCCCAGGATGTGCTGCCCAGCCACATGAACACCCTGTCTCTGGGCAACAACAGGATAACAGATTTTTTGGGCTAAGCACCTAGTGAATTCCGTGATTGCTGAGTAACCTCCGGGAGCAGGCAAGCAAGTAAGCATCTTTTGCAGTGGAATCAATAACTACAGACTCATAACTTAGAATGAGAGACATTACATCCTTCCACTCCCCCCCCCACAAAGCAGTACAGACAGGAAGTTACTAAATAGAGTCCTTAAAAATTATGATAAAGTTGCTAAACTATAACTCCTCACAATTTATGGCTTCTGGCCAGGGTTGGGATGGAGAAGGACTCAGCTTTCTTTAAGGGTCTGGCCACTGGAAGTTTGACCATGTTCCAATGAGCAACGCAAATTGGAGCTAGTGTGTTTTTCTTTTTTTCTTTGAGGGGGTGCACAAGTGTGGGAGGGTAGACCTGGTAGGAATGGGAAGCGAGTGTGATGGAGTACATTGTATGAAATTCTCAAATAATTAATAGAAATATTAAGTTGGGGAAAAATAATGAAACACAAAAGGTAAAATTTTGTAAGGTAAAAAGTGTTGCAAAGTAAACGACTCCTTTTGTCCTCCTACCTTTCTATGCTCTAGAAACTGTGGCATCATTCTCGCTTCATTTCTCTGTGTCTGCCAGATAAAAGACATTAAAAATTAAAGCAAAATTATATAACAAACTGTCTTGTCACTGAATCCGACAAGATAGTAGGGAGTATGTGGAACGGGAAGGAAGGGAAGAATGATAAAGCTACCATGAACAGATCTCATCTATGAGAACAGCATTAGTCCATTCATGAAGTTCAACACCTAAGTTCTCAGGGTTCATTCAGCCAATGGAACTGATCCCACTTAGACGACAGCAATTTCAAACAATGGTGGAAACAGAGGATGAAGAATCACAAATGAAAAAAGAATTGAGGTGAGCAAGTATAAACAGCTTTGGAGAGGACATTCTCTGGGTCAGAAGTTTTATTATGTCAGAGAAAAGAGCAAAGGAAACATGCAAAGATGAAAAAATAATTTAGAGGAATTAATTCTTGTGGGTTTCTAGACGTACTGTTGTTTAAAAGTTTCTTCTAATCATTACTCTTCCCATCACACTACCAAATAATTATTTACCTCATGCAAATTCAATCTCTTACACTTCAGGCTACAAAGTTCATTAGACTTCATTCGGATCTTCAGTGCACAAAATTAAACAAGTCTCTTAGCCTCTTCATGTCTGTTAGTTTATTCATAAATGAACTAATAACACTTGTCATGGAGCAGTGCATGAGGATAAAATGAAATTAATACATTATTTGAGGGAATCATCTTTAATTGTTGAGTCATGTCTATAGCAACTGATTTTTTTCTAATTCAATAATTTTATATCTATTAATGATATATAGTTTTTCTTATATCTTTATCTGTGCTTCAAATATGACAAATCTGGCCTCAGAAAGTTCTGTTTTAAGGTGTATCTCTCCTCTAAAACTTAGTTTTGTGAAGAAGTGGCAACATTTCTTCCTTAGGTATTTATTAACCTGAATCTTTTATTTTCTCTGTTGTCTTATGAAAAAGGATTCATAAAAGAAATCCCAAACTAGCTCAGAATTGAGTATAATAAAGGGTTATTTATTTAGGGGTAGACTCACAGATCATAATCGTCTGCTGGAACAGGGAACAGCAACCGAATCTTGCAGTATTTATAGTATAAGAGGTGGGTAACTTAAAGGTTAGTGGTGGTAGGAATTCCTACAGCAGTTTTATATTGATTGTTTTACTTCATTTGTATTTAGTTATATTTCATTTTCTTATGATAAAAGAAAACAGCCTAATTTTAAATAGGAAATATTGTGTCTTGCTTATTTCCTAAAATGTAACTCTAAAAGGCAGACTTCTGTGCATACTAGAAACAAAAATAATGAAAATAAGTTAAAAAGAAAAAAAAACTTATACTCAAATCATCTTGATAGATGTTTAGTTGCCTCTAAACCAAATAAAAGCTATCGAAACAATTCTAGTTTCACCTGGAATAGCTAGAGGTGAGAGGGAACTAGAAGATCGCCCAGCTTCATGGTAGAGAGGCATATACACATGGAATGTCACATGGGAGCTGGGAGCATTGCCACAGTGAAGATCCATGACTTCAGATCTGAGAGTTAGTGTTTTCTATCCATTCTTCTATTTCCTAATTTGGCCCCACTGAGTTGTCCTACTGCCAACTAAATTCGATGTCTTGCTGTACAATAAAACATTTTAGGGAAGATGACATCCTAATTTGTAAAATAATGTAAACTAAATCATCACCTATGCTGCTCTATTGCTAACTTAAATTTGATGTCTCGCTATAGAACAGCATACCACTCTCAGCCTAAGGCAGAGTTTCATTTTGTCTTATTTGCAATCAGGAATGGCGCTATTTTATTTATGGTAGTAGCTAAAGAAACCACTGGGTAATTGACACCAAAGGAAAGGAAAGAGTTAAAATGAAAGGAAGAGAATGTACTTGGGAAGGGAGAAGGGAGCAAAGGATAAGAGATAAAAGAGAAGAAAATCAGTCAGTAAAGACGGAGAAAGGGAAAAAAGAGAGGGTAAAAGAGATAAAGGTTTTGTGGGTTTTGTGTCAGTTTTCAACACAAAACAAAAGAGTATGGGAAACATCCACAAACATCCCAAAGAATCTAAATCAGATTGTAGGGGTTCATCACCAATTTGTCAAGATCTAGAATCACCCATGAGACTAGTCTCCAGGCACAGTTATGGCAGGTTATCCCTTAGGCTAGCCTCTCGCATCACCCATGAGACTAGTCTCCAGGCACAGTTATGGCAGGTTATCCCTTAGGCGAGCCTCTGGGAATGTCTATGAGGGATTTCTTCACTGGGTTAGCTGAAGTAGAAAGACCCAGCCTAAATATGAACTGCACCTTTTGGACGTGGTCCACATATGACGAGGCCCAAGGAAGAGGTTTCCCTTTCTGCCTGTCTGCTTTCACATCTGCTGGCACATTCATCCCATCTATTGCAGGTGCTGCCATCCTTCCTCACACCAAATCCCAACGTCTTTGCCTTTGTAAAGTGGCTTTCTTGAACCCTCCAGGCTTTTGATGTTGTATCGAAACTCTTAAAGCATCCTGCCTTAGAAACTAAAGAACTACTATGTTCTCTACCTCTCTATTGTGAAGATAGCTATTGTTGGACTATCCAGACCATACAATATAAGCCAATTAGATAAATCCTCTTTCGGTATATAGTGATTCTATTTGATCTGCTCACAGGAGAATGCAGATCACTACACAGATGAAAATATTTATTTGGCAAAGTATAAAACCCCTGGGTTGTTTATTTCCATAGTTTCTAACTTAAGTATAGTTCACGTAGTAAAATGCTTTGACAGGGATGCTGGAATGAAATTCCTCCTATAAATTGATGGATGTATTAATTCAATTAACTATAATAACTATTTCAATATGCATCAATACATCAGAGTCTCATGTTGTACTCCTAAAATATGGGGAAAGAAAGAACTCAGGGAAGAAAGCTGTCTTCTTGCTTAATCATTTTCCTTTTCCATATTTATTAACAAATGGCTCTTTATAACATTTATAACCACCCAATTTTCTCTTTTCAATGAACAATTTTCCTAAGGAGGATAAACTGCTAAATTCTCATTATGCAATATCAATAAGAAAGTATGAAGTGGCCAACTTACCCACCACAGTGCTGTGAGAAATGAACCCACTTCTGTGTTAAGATTCCTAAGGAGTATAATCTAAAATGATTGCCATGAAAAACCTTAAGGATAGTTTTTATCCTTAAGGCCTTGCAATTTTATAACTGAGAAACATGGGAGACTGACTTGATGCCACACTGCCAATGGGAACGCTGTCCCTGTGCTCCAGTTTGCTATTGTCTCTTACAGAGCTTCAGGA